TATGTTCAATACAATTTAAGCTATTGATAGATATACTATATCTATAACTAATACAGGTTATAATACTATGCTATAATAATTTTTTTTAGAATATTAGTATATTTTATATGATAAAGATGCTTTTCAACTAATTAGTATTTACAGTAAAACAAAGAATTTTAATTGGTTAGAAGGTATTGGGACTAAGTTCAAGAACTTAATTTTGAATTAACCTTGGTCGAATCTAAGTTTTAGGACTTATTATATGAGGACCTGGTCCTTAGGTCCATGTTATAGGACTTACAAGTCCTAGAACCAAGACTGGACCTGAACTGACTTTACCATCCCTAACCTTAGCATAGTACCTTAGCATAGTACCTTAGTATAGTATCTTATTATAGTACCTTGCTATAGTATCTTAGTATAGTACCTTAATATAGTATCTTGTCATAGTACCTTACTATAGTATCTTAATATGTTTTTAAGGTAACAATAACACGTTTTTAGCATGTCAAAAAGCTATATAAACCCTGCTTTTTTCCCCAAGGCAGGACAGGTTCTCTTATTTAAGCTTTATTAAAAGTTTCTTTTATCTTAAAGCCCTTTCTTTAACTTAGATTTCTATCTCCAAGTCCTGTTCTTTATCTAATAAACTGATACTCATTTTTGAATATACTTTTACTACATTGTATATATCTTTTATCTGTTACTTCTTATATTGTGAAGGCTTCTTTTTATTGTGTATTCCTTATATTTTTGTTTAGTTTTAGTGTTGTTCTTATTCTTTTACCTATTACGTTGTGAAGGCTTTTCTTATTGTGTTTGTTTTATATTTTTGTTTTGTTTTGGTTTTGTTTTTTATCCTTCACCCATTACGTTGTGAAGGCTCTCTTTTATTGTGTTTCTATTATATTTTAGTTTGTTTTATCCTTCACCCACTACGTTGTAAAAGCCTTCTTTTTGATATTTTGGTTATATTTTTGTTTGGTTTTTATTCCTTTACTCATTACATTGTATAAGCCCTTTTTTATTGTATTTTAGTTATATTGCTTTATTATCATTCTTGAGTATTCTCTTTTAGATTTCTTGTGTTTTATTCCATATTTTGTTTTAGTTCTTGTATTAGTTTATTCTATCCTCCTACATATTCCTTACCCTCTACACGTTAAGTCAAGTAATATAGTTAACCAATCTAGGTTTTTTATGTTACAGTTTTGGCGACGATGACAGGACCTGCTCTTCTTTGTGTCTTTGTGATTTTCTAGCTTTTATTTATTTCTTTTCTTTTCTTTTATTTTTATTTTTATCTTTATTTACTTCTACTTTTATTTTCTTTTATACTTATATTTTTAGCCTATATTTATCTCACTTTATTATTATTATTATTATTATTATTATTATTTTTATTATTATTTTTTTTTTATTATTTTATTTACCTTTTTTAACCCTTTAACAACCTGGATTGCCTTTCTATTTTAATAGTTCTTTATGAATATTGCTCAATATAAGGAACAAATTCGACAATATAATTTTGTTCATTCAACCAATCAACGAGTACTTTGCAGTAAATATAAAGCAAAACCGGATCCTAGTTGTTCTAACTGTAATCCAGCGAATTTAAACTTTGCTCTGGCAGCACAATTTTCAAGATTTTGGCCTTGGTTTCAATTTAAATATCAAGCTCAAAGTTTTTCTAGATATACTATTGATCTATTTTGGGCAATCTACTGACAACTCTTCTCTGAGGATAAAAGTGAAAATTTTCATAGTTTATTAACTACTTGTCACTATCAGGAAAATTAACCACCAAAAGAATTTAGTAAAATTGTTCCTGAATTAATAGCTAAGTGGACAGCAATATCTGGCTTTATTACCACTCCTATACAATCGGAAAACAATAGTAACTCTGAAACTTCTTCCACTACAGCTATAATTGTAGAATCTACTTGTAGTAGCTCTAATTCTTCTACGACAGCTTTAGTTGCTGAATCTACTCATTTAACTAACAATACTACACACAACCCACCAACAGAAACTATAACTAATACAATTGCAACAACTACTTACAATCCAGCTAATATAGCATCTACATCGAATAACATCAATACAAACACAAATTCAAATCCATACGGCAAATTTTTTATAAATATTTTCTCAGATCTAAGTAACATGTCTGGTCAAAGAACATCTACTCGTATAACGCACCAAATACCTACTTTAATAGATATACAAGATAGAAATAATGAAAACAATAGACACAGTAATGAAGCTTAAAATGATACTATTATTCAACTGTATATTAATGATAGATCAAACCAAGGAGCTGACGAACGTCATGTACCTATCAATAATGAACAAAACAACCATTTGCAGCATGAACGAGAAGAATTTAATGCTGAAAATGCTATAAGAGCTATTATAAAAGGACTTAGACAACTTAGTCAAAATCACACAGAACGAGCTACTGCTGACACTAACCCTAAGGAATATAAACTTGTAGATTTTTCAATCTTTTCAGGAAGTCATGATGATAACCCTGTTGAATGGTATGAAACTTTTAACAGAGCCTATATCAGTAATAATATTTCGGAAAACTGACGCATTGCTATTGTATCTAATTTTTTAAAAAGAACTGCTTTATCCTGTTATAATTAAAACTATCGCACTTTTACCTACTGGGATAGTATTGTACATTCCAACACTGCTTTTTACTGGCTAAATTCAGAGATTTTTTTAAAGTATCTCAATGGCATTATACTCTTAGAAATAGAAAACAAAAACCTGATAAAACTGTTGATGCATATAACTCTGCTCTAAATGAGCTATGGCATAGAATAGATCCAGATAGTCTTTATTCTGAGGTTAATAAAATAAGACAATTTATTGATGGTCTTTGACAAGAATTTCAAATACCTGTATAGTCTGAAAGTCCTATTACTTTAGCTGATGCAGTTAAAAGAGCTAAAGCTATAGAAGTGGCATATTCCAAAGGAAGTACACTTTCTGCTTATTCATTACTACCTACTTCACTTCAGCCACAGTTCTTTGGTGGATATACTACTCCAATGCAAGTAGCTACTCTAACCCAAGTACAAGAAA